CCGGATTAAGTTTGGGTGCCTTATGCAGACCGGGCTTAATACTGTATCAGGCCCCACATATTGTGTCATAAGGCCCTCACATAATGGGGTTTCAGGCCCGCACATATTGTGGCATAAGGCCTTCACATAATGGGGCTATAGAACCGTACATAAAAAGGTACAAGTTCTCATATCGTGTGGATTTAGGCCCGCTCAAAAAGGGTGTGCAAAAAAAAACAACCCAAAAAACCGCAGATATGTATGCAATCTGTCATTTTCATGAATTTTATCAGTTTTAAACTTGTCTGAGGTCAAACGAATTGACGTCTCGGTCTTTATAGCTTTTCCATCATTTATATATGACCTCGTGAAATCACGGAAGGCCCAAGAGACAATGATATTAGGAAACAGAAATGTATGGAAAGGCCGGAAATCCCCGAGGGCACATCCGAATGTCATGTTATCGCCGCCACAGTAAACAACCTTACGTTTCTAATTTCATGTCTATGAAAATGTCTACGAAAGATATACTTTTTTTTCTAGATATATTTTTTTTCTAGTGGTTTATTTACACTGACAACAAAAAATTATTAGCTTGACACATGCAGGAAGCCGCGCTTAGAAACATTCCCTACTTAGATTCTGTAGCCAGGATTCTTGAACAAAATCCCTCTTGGTTTTAATGTATCACAGATAAACAGCAAAAATGGAATCGGGTGATCTGTATGGGAATAACTATAGCGCTAAATATCTTAGCACTCCGTTATACTTTGTAGCTTTTATGTTGTATATTGCAGTCAACCCTCTTTAAATAATGGCTCGTATGCATATTCACGATGGTTTTGTTCAAATATGAAAACAAAAATGAATTTAGTTTTGGAAGGGAAGAACACAAATCCGTTTCTGCACACTGGAGTTTATCTCAATATTAAAGTATTTACTGAACCGTCAGTTTGGTGGACTCAGGGGAGGATTAGTGCGTTATAGTATAGGTCCACATAAATAAATCATTGACTACTCTGTTTTGTTTCTTAATCTATGCTTTAAATGTCATCGCTGATTCAATACAAGTTGAGGACAACAACAAATGAAATGAGAATCACCGCATGAATATAAGGAAAATAATACTCCTAAACCCTCGCCCCCAAGCCACCTCCTTACCCACAAAAGTCCGGCAAACTTCAGCTGCGTCGTTCCACAAGTTTTCCCTACATCTTCAGAAGGCGAATCAAATTTCGTGTGCTCGTTAGATTTGTGATTGATTGAAGAAGAGCTTACCTGCAGCCCTCGATATTAGTGTAAATCTAAACCTTGCCTTCGATGTAACGTTACGTGCATAGTTTACACTGGTAATCTTACATACACAACTGGAACAAATCTCGTGTTCCAGCGGACTGAATTCCTACATTTTCCCGTTTGCCTGACAGAAATAGTTTTGATGCGTTTAACATACTGTGTCGGTAAGGATGGTGGAGGTGGTGGTAAAAATTGTTTTCAAGTTAGGGTTTACTGCTCTCTTAGCGCCTAAGGAAACTAAGCTCCTGGAATAAGCGACATGTGTGGGTTATAAGTTAGATTGTATTTATTGTTAGTATTTTTACTTGTGATCTTGTGTTGATTTGTTAAAACTTGTATCGAGTTGAACCAAAATACTACTTATTTTGTTCATATTTGAGGATAAGGGATCTAAACTTGAAAGCAATAACTTTATCAGAATTTTAAAAAGCTTAAAATAATTATTTTACATGCATGCTTTGTCGAATTTTAGTACGTATGCGTTTATTTTTATTATTTTTTTTTTTGGGAGGGGGGGGGTCTTAAAATGGATAACGCTAAAGAACTGAATTGAACCTGTACAGATAATAACAAAAATTTCGTTTCACATAACGTGAAGTATCACAAAATACATAATATTCACATAAATTTAAAATTAATTTAAAAGTATAACTCAACATTTTTAGTTACTTTATTGGAAAACAAATATTCCAAATAATTGAGGTAACGTAAAATTTTAGTTTTAAAACTGGTCACTGTTCTCTAAGTCGGGCTACTCAAATTGTTCAGCGTGACGGACTGACGGTAATCATTCACCCTTCTCAACACAACCTATCTGAAAATGTCACATTTTTCGCATTGACGACTTTTGGTGGGGACCACCAATTTAACTAGCACCAGTGGCGTAAGAAGAGGGGCGGGGGCGCGCCCCTGATGGCACTTTTTTCTCTATGTAGGGGCGGCATTTTCGACCAAGTTTAAGGAAAAGAAAGGGATTAAAGGACACAGTGCAAGATTTACTTTACAATCAACTACTACACATATTAGGAGATACTTGAACTCTAAAAAAAAAATGGCTTAATTTCATACAGTGCTTTTAGCCTACATATTTCTGACCCAGCTAAATAGAAATACTGCAAGGTGAAAAAGGGAGAGAACTAACCAAAGCAAGCCATCAACTAGGTCAGTAGTCAATAAAGGATGATATTTTAGAAATATTTTCTTTTGATGACATGGGATCCTTCCCAGACCCCTGCTCGTACGTTTGATTGGCTCGGAAGCCTCCAGCGCCCTTGATTTCTCCAAACAACCCCTCCCCCCAACGTACTGATGTGATTTTTTTTTTTTAACCAGCACTTTTCTACAAGCAGAGTGCTGTGTGTTGACCTAGTTTTTTTTTCACCACAAGCCATGACATTTAACCATACCCCTCCCCGCACACCTTTTTGTTTTGTTTTTATAATGACGTCACGGATTAAATGTGTAACGCTCGACCACACCCTTCTCTCCCTTAATTGGGAAAAGGTTGTTTACGTTTAAGTACTTTTTAATTTGTGCTAAAGAATGCTATCGAGGGATGCAAGTTCTAGAATTTCATCTCTGGAGGGTTCCTACTCCCTCCCTAGGTTTCCTAAACACAAAACATATTAATAGGAGCCTTACTCTGTGTGTGTTTATATATATTAATATTTGTATCTTTCGAAGATTGCACTTTTTCACTGGTTGTGCTGTGAGTCAATATAGAGTTTATTTTTGTCTATTTGATTTTTTATTCTTTATATAAATTTAATAATATAATTAAATTGAATAATGCTAATATTTGGTATAGTTTTTCTTTGTATTCTGGTTTTCATTCCTTTGTTACATATTGTTCATCGAACGCGGTGTCTTTTTAACCTTTTTTATTGGAATGGAACCCTTTGGAACAGAGCTAGTGTTAAAAAGTATTAGGTGCCGGGGCGAGTGGTGCATATGCCAGGGGCAGCGCTATTTCAAGGTTCGTTATTTACAGGTTTCACTTTGGCAAAGAGCATTATATGTTTTTTTTCGGAAGGGTATGTGGACGGAAACTGAAAAGTCCAGGCGTCGCAATGTCTCGCTACGCCTGTGACTAGCACTGATTTAATTGATTTAAACTTGATTTTTTGGCCACACCAAAGAAAACGAGCCAGTAATATATTGTCAGTGTATGAGCCCCCAAACCTTCTCTTGATAATCAGCGTGGGCTGGAATAACGTTGAGCTGTGGAACTATAAACGTTGAGGCTTAATGATTTCATCTCATTGAAGAGGTGCTTTGAAACATTAAACATGTTTCGTGATCTCTTTATGGTTTTCATTGGACTTATAGTAATGATTATTTTGTTTAAAAGTATGAGGTAAACACAGCCCAACCACTCCACTTAAACGCCGCTGACAATGCTCGGCCTTCCGGCAGTTTATCTACGAAAGTGAATTTCGTCTCCATGCAAGTGAATGGGAGAAATACCGTACCTGGAACATATTATCCTAGACTAGACAACTCGCGGCCGCGACTGGGAAAGGTGCAAAGGGGGGGGGGGGGAGGTTCTAGTTATTTCTGGCATGACCTAGTTTATGTGAGCTCAACCCCGCTACCAGTCAATACGTTTTGCGGGGGTTGCTTTCGGCTATTTTGTCATATATTTTTTATTTAACTATCCAACTTTTTCGGCGTGTTCGCCAGGTGAAAGCACTTTACCTTTCCAACTGTCGCTTTTATGGCAGGTAAAAAGGGCGCTAGAGAAATGAGAGCCCTGTCCATATATTTATCGGAGCAGATTTATTGGTCGGATTGATCAAAACGTCGGGCGGAAACGTCTGAGATTTTTCTGTCTGCTCCTAGTTTACCGCTCTTAAGAGAATGATTTAATCAGTTTTAAGTCTTCAAGGTAAAAAAAAACATTGCAACAAACTTCAATGGTCGGCAAATACATAAAAAGAAGACATGTAGGATTGAGTAATTGAGTTATCAAATAATATTTGAAAATCTAAACTTAATATATACCGGCAGAAAGTACGTCCACAAGCGAAGTCAATTTCGTTAAATTTTGAAAAAAATTAATGTATTGACTGTCTCCCTTTAATTGCAAGCAAAGTTTTCCTACGTTCTACAGATTAATGTTTGATAATTAAACTAGTAAGTGTATAATAAAAGTGCAAAAATTGTCAAACATTGCCGGAAGAATACTGTCTTACGGACATGTTTTTTTATGGATCATAAATATTATTTACACATTAATATTTGGACAGAATTTGATTATTGCGATTGTAGTCCCGCGAGAACTACCCCAGACTTCTTAAAACTTTGTACAATAACCAGTGCCCAAATGTGTGTGTGTGTGTGTGGGGGGGGGGGGGGGGGGCAAA